TTTCATCTCAAGACCTACAAAAGCTACAGGGCTGAAAATTTGGGAACTTAATCTACATGCACGTACAGGCCCCAATTCCCAGAGTGGGCGCCATTATCCGCGTGGTACCCACGTACGGGCCCGCCAAAGTTTCTTCGGGTAGGTTCATAACCCGGGGATCTGAAAAGCTGGAAAGCTGATATCTTAAATGGGTATTAGTGAGCTCAAACCCAGCCTCCGGGTAAGCGTGGTACCCGCGTACAGGCCCGGCAAAATTTTTTTTGGGGGGTAAGTTCATAACTCGGGGATCTGAGAAGCTAGAGAGCTGAAATCTTAGAGGGGTGTTCCCCATCCAGATGGGTATCAGTGAGCTCAAACCCAGCCCCGAGTAAGCGTGGCACCCACATACAGGCCCGCCAATTTTTTTTTTTTTTTTTTGAGTAAGCTGATAACTCGAGTACCTGAGAAGCTAAATGAGTGTTATTTTAAGAGGATATACCCCGTCCACCTGAGTTTCATTCAGCTCAAACCCAACTCTCGGATATGCTGGTAAACACGCACGGGCCCGTGGAAATTTTCTTTCAGTAAGTTGCTAACTCAGGAGCCAAGAAACTAAAAACCTAAAGTTTTAAGGGGGTGTTTTCTGACAGTTCTGACGTCAGTCTTAATTTGTTTAGCTAGAAGCATTTGCCGAAAAAACCGGTGCCGTTAGCAACAAAAACTGCGGGGAACTATGCAAAAAACGCATCTTCGCACGGGCAGCCCGTGCGTTGGCCAGTTATTTGTTTTTTTCTTCGAAATTAATAAAGTACTGATATTTCAGACAATTGAAACACTGCAGAAGGTAAATTTTGGATTTTCTACCTTGCTATGCTCATTGGTGGACTGCACCTTCCACATATTCACATGCATGTTACCGCTTTTTGGCACATTTATCATTTCTTATCCGATCATATTTTCAAACTGAAGTTTTGCTGAAATAGTGGCAGCAGAAACTTTTCTTATAGAGACAGTGGATTATGAGGTTGATAGAGGGCTTTGAGCTGGTGAAACTCTGAATTTGCCCTAAAATCGTCGCTTTTTATGCGTTTTTGCATACTGCAAGCGCAAAAACGTATAATGGCAAAGAATTTAGCTTGAAAATATTTTCGGCTACCTGGGCTGTACATTTTATCAACTCCGTTTGTTACTAACCTCCGCTTTCTGTATTCTGTCTCATTTCCTTTTGCTTGATTTGGAGCTGAGACTGTGGCTTTGGTAAGAGCCCGGTAGGTATATGTCAGAACTATGCCATCGGAACAGATGTTGTCCCGGATTATCGATATTCAATGGAAAACAAAAAAGATGAAAAATCCGGAAATGAAAATTAATGTGGTAATATGAAATTCTGGAGCATCCCGGAGAATGCGAAAATTCGACATCTTTTATGCGCATTTTTGGACTATCTTGCTGTGGATTGCTTACTGCATGTGAGTTTCCCCTTTGTTTTTTGCACATTTTGCAAAATTGGATGTTTTCATAACTATGTGACAACAGTACGACTGCTCCATATACAGAAAACTTAAAATTATATTTTATTAAAAGAATGGCACTTTTATGGGGCAAAAGAATTGAAAAATTCGCTTTGTGATGCAGCTGTAAGAGCAGTGGTGGAAAGATTGTCTGCACCAGCAACACTTAAGCTGCTT